TGAAAATGTGATAGATTGTTTGAAATTGGTGTAGATTGTCTGAAAATGTTGTAAATTTACGTATACAAGTCATAAATTGTATAAAATATCGTAGATTGTTTTGAATGCGCTGTAGATTGTCTAAAAATTTTATAGGTTGTATGAAAATGGTGTAAATCGTCTTAAAATGTTGTAAATTGACTAAAAATGTTGTAAATTATCTAAAAATGTTGTAGATTGTCTAAAATTGGTGTAAATTGTCTAAAAATGTTGTAAATTGTCTAAAAATGTTGTAAATTGTCTAAAAATGTTGTAATTAGTCTAAAAATGTTGTAATTAGTCTAAAAATGTTGTAGATTGTCTAGAATTGGTGTAGATTGTCTAAAATGTTGTAAATTATCTAAAAATGTTGTACATTGTTTGAAATTGGTGTAAATTGTCTTAAAATGTTGTAAATTGACTAAAGATATTGTAAATTGTCTAAAAATGTGGTAGATTGTCTGAAAATGTTGTAAATTTTGTGCAAATTATGCAGGCTGTCTGAAATTGATGTAAATGTTGTAAATTACGTAAACAAGTCATAAATTGTCTGAAAGATATCGAAATAGATTGTTTTGAAAATATTGTAGGTTGTCTAAAATTGATGTAAATGGTCTAAAAATCAAACAGATTATAGAACATATAAGAGTTCTGATTGCTGTTCAAATAATTAAAAAAAAATGTCTAAAAAATTATTAGGCAAATTATGTAGGTTGTCCAAAAGTGTCTGGAAAAGTTTGTCCCAAAAAAAAAACAATATGAGTTTACTAAAATGTTGTCTATTTTCATACTACATGGCAAAGATTCACTTCTTTTGCTAATATTGGTTTCCGTATATATTTCTATTAACTCATTTGACTTTTTACATTCGGTCGGTCAATTTGTTCCATTGAGATTTCATCGATCATCGGCCTCTAAAGACCTACCTCAACAGGAAAACAACTCAGGTGCATCGATACATTATCTTCCCTTTTTTTCGCCTTCGAAAGGATCTTCGAAGTCCGTTGCTCCGGGGTCAATGGTCTTCTTTATCGAGTGCATTCAACGTTCTTTTCTTGTTCGTCTATCTATTATACTGAAATGGAACACGTAAGTTGTTAATTGTCAGTGAACTATGGTTGTTCTCTCATCCATCCATCCATCCATCCATCTATTTAGTCTGTCTTGTCCTGACTTTGGATATAAGGAAGGCACGAGATCGATCTGATTGCAGGGAAGGAAAACGAGGAGGAATTTATTTTGAATTTGCATGCATTTTGGCATACCTTAGAAGAAATGGATGTGTGTCAATATAATTTTTTATCGACGATTTCGGAAGCATGGATCAACCGATTTTTCGTCTAAATTGCAACTCTGCAAAAATGTTACGCCGCAAATATGGATTCGTCATTGGCTATGATTATTCGAAACGAGTTGATATGATTGGTCGAGATTGTTATTATAGCAACTTAACAAGTTCAAACTAGGAAAAAACGAACACTTTGTTTATACAAATTTATACAAAAATGACGAACAAATTGTTTATAAAAGAGCAAATCAAAAAATATAACATAAAATTATGTAATAAACAAAAAAATTATGTAGTTGGTCACGTGATCGCCAAATTCAAATGAAAAAAATAAATTATGGAATACTTGATTTGGTTCCAAAATTATAAAAATCGATAGTTTTTCATGGTTTTCTATCATTTTTGATGATTATCAATCAATGTCGATTATCTTTAAAATTTTTGGCGATTCTTGATTATTTTAGAAGGTCGTGCTTGACACTCTTTTTCAAATTACAAAGAAACGGCTCGGCAGAACGTCTCAGAAAACTGACAAACTATAGTGCTCATTGAGATACATCGAATGGCTTTTAAATTTTTAAAATCTGTTCAGGCGTTTTTGAGAAAGCGTCGATGAAAGTTCTAATTTTGACAAATACCAAAAAATGATACCAATTTTTGCAAACTTTGACGAATTTTTAAAGTAAAAAAAAATCATAAAAATCGTCGAAAAAAAATTTTTCAATACTCTATTACAAGAAAACGGCCCGGCCGATCTTTACCAAAAACTAATCAGCACGATTCCCAACCAATATCTTTCGAACGGTTTTTGAATTTTCAAAATCGATTCAGAATTGCGGGCTAAAACGTGGACGAAAATTTTTTCACTTTTCTGCGATTTACAAAGAAACGGCTTGGTCCTCAACGAGATACATCGAATGGCTTTTAAATTTTTGAAATTGGTCCAGCCGTTTTTGAGAAAACGGCGATTTACGGCAAAAAAATCTGTTCACATACACATACACACACACATACTTTTCCCTTAAATTTGGTCTCATTCGATTCAGAATGGCTTGAAACGTCCTGGCGAAAACATAAAATTAGCGAATCGGATTTTTCCTTGAAAACATAAACTCTCCTTCGGGAAGTTAAATATTACCCCCCCGGCTAAGCACAGTCTAAGCGCCACTCTGGTACAAATGTTTACCCAAGTGCGTTTAGACTGTTTATATACTGGAGCAAATTTCCAATTTTGTGTAATTTTGGAGGAAACTATTTTTTTGAAATTGAATTCGAAATGAAAAGACGATTGTTAATGTTCTGGAGAGAAATTGGTTTATGATTTACATTTGATTTGCTCAGATATAACAAGATAGCAAAAATAATGAAAGTTACAGTATTTGTAATAATATATTTGAAAACGTTCAAAACTTCTTGAATATTTTCATTACATTACGGTACGGGACGTTCCAGCTATTTGCCTTAAGGCACGATGCCATATACCACTAGTTTTTAACTTCCCGTAGGGTAAGTTATTGTAATCGTCCAAAAATCGAAATCAAAAATTTTTACATTTCTCGACGTTTTGAAGGTTTCTGAACATTTTGGCATACTTCAGAAAAAATGGATGTGTGTGTGTTGTGTGTGTGTTTTGTATGTCCGCGTTTTTTTGTCCACGTTTTCGGGCGCACGGATCAACCGATTTGAATGGTTTAAAAAACATTCGATTCCTATTGATAGGGAGATGTGCTGATTAGTTTTTGGCAAAGGCAGGTCCAGCCGTTACGGAGATATGGAGCAAAGAGTGCAAAAATAGAAAGCGAGTTTTTGAGAGAACGGATCAACCGATTTGAATGGTTTAAAAAACATTCGATTCCTATTGATAGAGAGATGTGCTGATTAGTTTTTGGCAAAGGTAGGCCCAGAGGTTTCGGAGATACAGAGCTAAATTTAAAAAAAATGTCTGTTTTTGAGAGAACTAAGCGTCCGATTTAATGATTCAAAGAACTTTCTGCTTTTTTCAACAAAAAATTGATTTTGGAAAAAAAAATTTTTGTTTCTAATTTTTTTTTCAAAAAATTTTTTTGTAATTTTGGATTAAAATTCAAAAAATCACCCAAGCTAAGCACAGTCTAAGCGCCACTCTGGTACAAATGTTTACCCATGTGCGTTTAGACTGCTTGTGTATTGGAGCACTTTTTCCAATTTTGTGAAAATTATTGAAAAATGTGAAAATGCCGCCAAGCTGAGCACAGTATAAGTGAAAATGTCGCACAGAATTATTTGCAATGCGTTTAGACTGTGACTATGAGGGAGCACTTTTTCAATTTTGTGTAAATTTGGCAACTATTTTTTTTTTTTTTTGGAATTTGATTCGAAATGAAATGACGATTGTTAATGTTCTGGAGATGATAAATTGATTTATTTATAATTAACTTTCCATAGGGTAAGTAATCGCAAAAAATCGAAAATGAAATTTTTTATATATCTTCACGTTTCAGAGGTTTCTGAATATGTTGGCATACCTTGGAGAAAATTGATGTGTGTGTGTGTGTGTTCGGATACAAATTTTCGTCGACGATTTCGGGAACACGTATGAAGCAATTTGAATAATTCAAAAAACATTCGATTCGTATTGATAAGGAGACGTGCTGATTAGTTTTTGTCAAGGCAGGTCTAGCCGTTCCGAAGATATGGGGCAAAAAGAGCCAAAAACGGTAACTCAGTTTTCAAGAGAACGGAGCGTCCGATTTGTATAGTTCAAAAAACATTTTACTTGTATTAACAGGATGAAGATTTGATCAAATTTTCATGAAGATAGGTCTAGCGGTTTCAGAGATCTAGTAAAAAAAACTAAAAAAAATAACATTTGGCGGTCAACAATAATCATTAAGCATTAGACATACGCACATCAAATTATCAGATATTTTATTGAGATTTTAACAAAAGTATAAGTTTTGTTTACATTCCTATGGGTTTCGTACCAATGTTTTTCCGTTAGACAGCGACGCGGCGCTTACGCGCTTTATATTTTGTCTCTATGCAGTCAAAGCAGTACGATTGCTTTGAAAAAAGTTCAGATCTTCCAAAATATGTCAAAATGAAGATAACATTTTTTCCAAAAAAAAATTTTATAAAAAAAATTGTTTAAAAATTTAAAAAAAAAAAATAAATAAAAAAAAGTAATTTTTAGTCCAATTTAAAATTTCTAAAAAATCTTATTTTTTCGAAGTAAAATTTTTTCAAAAATGTTAATCGTTTTTAAAAAAATAATAATTTTTGGCACGGGAAGTTCCAGCAATTTGCCTTAAGGCACGATGCCTTAATTGCCTTAAGACAGAATTCCACTTACAGCTAGTTTTTATTTTAATCCAACCATTTTTTAGTTAGCATATGGTGATAGTACAAATAAATGTACGAGACTTCGTCTTGCATTTTACAAGGAATTTAATTTATTGTGGGTCTTCAGGTTTTCAACTTCTGTATCCTATAAAATCCTATCTAGAAAAAAAGCGGAGCTATTCGTCCGCATAGAGCACGCGACCGAAACCATTGACCGTTGCATTATTAGTCTTCTAAGGAGTAAAAATTAGAAAAAAAACCTAGAAAAAGACTCTAAGTAAAAGAATCGAGTATGCCCTAAAGTCTCAAAAATGAACACATTTTTAATTAGGAATACTATAATATTTTAATACGAATTATCCACCTTTTTTCCATGACTCTATCCCTATCTATTCCTCCCAAAGGGCAAAGTCCTTTGCGATGGTCGCGTGCCGGTGATATATAAATAGTGATGGTACAGATAATTGGGTACAATATTGTTCTGTTCTTTATTATATTAATTTTTATGCTTAGTGGTCAGGCAGACCAGGCAGGGCGATCAGTCACTGAGAGCCTGATTAAGATAAAGAAATATTCAATCCTATTCTTCATATCTCGTAAAAGAACGTCAGCAGTTTATTGGCCTCTCAAGGGGAATGATTTCTCATTGATTTTAATTCGCAAGTTTTACTTTTGATTTCTAATTATTGACATTGGCACTTTTTATTTTTATTGTTACTATATATTATGACATTTTGTCATTTTCAGTTGTTATGGCATTTTGTCTGCACGACCGTCATTTAGACATTTTTTAACTTCTCATAGGGCAAGTTATAGTAATCGCAAAAAAATCGAAAATGAAAATTTGTATATGCCTTAGAAAAAATGGATGGATGTGTGTGTGTGTGTGTGTGTGTGTTTTTTTTGGGAAGGCAGGTCCAGCGGTTATGGACTCTCAATAAAAATAAGTTAAAAAATTGCCATTTGGCGGTCAAAAATGTTCATGATATATGTATGGATATATGTACATCAAATTATCATATATTTTATAGAGATTTTAATATTGTGTACACATTTTGTGTAAATTTTTTTGGGTTCCGTACAAAGATTTTTGATTTTGAAGTTCATTCATATGGTTCAAACAAATGTCCTCGATAGTATGGAATAACCGATTTGTTTTTGAAAAATCATTCAGTTCGTACACGATCGCAATTTCCGAATCCGAAAGGCAATTTTGCCATTTCGGAGGTATGGAGCGCAAAGGGTGTAAAAACGGTTGTGCAGTTTATGAGAGAACGGATCATTCGATTAGATTAATTCCAAAAACATTTTGCTTGAGTTGATGGTATGCAAAAATTGCATTTACAGAAAATTAAGTAAATTTGAAAATTAAAAAAAATCAAAATTTTCAAAAAAAATTCAAAGTTTCAAAAAATTCAAATTTTCGAAGTTTTTCATCATTTTCAAAAAAAAACTTAATTCTAAAAAATTGATTTCTTACAAAAATTTGACAATATTTCGAAAATTTTAAAAATGGAATATTTTCAAAAATTTCTAAATTCTCAAAATATTAAAAAAAGTTTTTTTTAATTCCAAAAAAATTTAAACTTCGAAAAAAATTTTAAAATTTTGAAAAAATTTCTTAATTATCAAAAAATTTCTAAATTATCAAAAAAATCAAATTTATCAAAAAAATCAAATTAAAAAAAAAAAAAAAACAATATTGTTGTGAGCATTCACATAAGTTGTTTGTGGAATACGTTGGTTGCCCTATAGTAAGCACTTATAAATTTACAGTATGTATTTTTAATAAATAATCTATTTGAAATTATTTAAAACAATTATTGATTATTTTTATTCCTCGAAGTTTCAGCAATTTGACTTAGGGAACAATGCCATACACTACTAATGCTTTTTTCAAATTTGAAGCTTTTAACAATATTTTTGAGTTAGGTAATTTTATTCCAGGCAACTAAAATATAGATATTTTTATAAAATGTTATCAATTTTTATTTTCATACACATAAATGTATTTTATGGTGGCAAATGTGATTATTCTATCAAATTTCAATAAAATACAATCATTTATAAACTTTTTGAGGTTTCAGCAATCTTTTATTATCCATTTGAAAAATAAATGCGGTTAATGGTTTGACAATATAATTCTTTAGTGTTCTTCACCCGCATATAACTTATAAAAAATAAGATTTTTTATATATAATAAATAGCATCCAAAGTTTTATATACGGGTTTTATTTGATTTCACACTATATGTCTATTTTTGTTATTGTCCATTATATTTTGAAGTAAAATTTCTTTAGGCGCGACTAGGGTGTAAATCCGTACAAATGCAACGGAAGTGCGTTACGGTAGATAAGATAATAGTCGAGTGCTAATGATTCGTCATTCGCTTTCGATGATATCATTTCTATACGGGTCGATTGTGATTAGTCGTCGTGTATGTAAATAGAGATCTGTCGTTGTATGCGAACCGATATCAACAAGGAAATCGGCATAGATAAATAAGCATTTTAAAGTTACATCGTAGTACAAATGGTGATTTAATAAAAAATGCCTGAATCAGAAGAATATTTTACCCTGTTCCTTGAAAATAATAAAACAAATTAAACATTTGTGCCGTGTACTAAACGTAAGTTTATTGATTAGAAATAATTTCTATATTATTCGTAGTTTTTGTAGTTGAAGTTATTGAAATGGAAAATACTTTTATAGGCAAGACAGATACTACAGATGTTCAAAGAATGAGATTATATCGTCAGCGAAAAAGTAAAAAAATACAAGCAGTCAATGAATGTGTGTTAATTTTAATTACATGAAGTTCTTCAAACACAATTATTATATGATGAGTGAAGTTGCGAAAACAATATTTGCTTAGGCGTTGTTTAACATAATCCACTGTGTGAACAAATATTAAAGAATTTATTAATCAGCAATTACTTCATTTCTCTAATGAATGTTCAAGTCCTAAATGCTAATTACAATGACAAACCGATCATGTCATATTTGAAGTATGACTTTAATTACATTATTGTTTTTAAATATTATATATATTTTCAATGCCATTATAAATATATAATTTATAATTTATCATTATATAAATGTGTATAATTGACGACACTAATAAATGTGTGCATCACGAGTATTACCAAATTACTAATAAACATTATTCAAAATTGTTATATGATGTATTTATTTTCACTTAGATGCCATCTTGTACAGTAGCAAATAAGTTTTACTTCAATCGCGTGTGAACCTTACGCGCACTCTTTTTTAAGATCATTTTTATTAATTTCTCAATTATTATTTTTCTATTACCAGGAAGCAGAGACGGCCTGGCCTACGGCTGCCTGCTGCGCAACGAACTCTTAGACGCCGACATCGACGACGTCCGAATGTCGTACGACGGCTGCGACGACAGGACGTCGTCGTCGGCGGCGCAGAGCAACGCCAACAATATCGGAGCAGCGAACGGAGCAGGAGTAGCCAACGGCATAGGAGGAGCGCCCTGCGGGCCGCCGCTGTTCCGGTATCGGTCGCCACAGAAACAGGTAGGATAATGGATAGATATATACAGTAGAACCTCGTTTATCCGGACTAATTGTTGTCGATAGGCATCCGGATAATCCAAATTATGAAGAATAATGTTTTGTTTATTAGTCCAGTCATTTGGTCGTTTGCCGGTACAGTACTCCGAGAATTCTGAAAATTGGTAATCTTATAGATTTTGAGGTGCTCTTTACGAAAATCAACTTTGCCACCTCAAATTTGAACGGCAAGTTGCCGCCATATTAAAAAAATGGCGTCAAAAAACAGCTTTTTTAAAATATCTCCTTTCTGGCTTATTCCACGATAAAAGTATCTAAGTACGAATTAAACTAGAGAAAATTTTCTACAATTTTTTGGAAAACCGTTTTTCTGTAAAATTGATAGTTTGAGAGTACGGCCGCCTCAAAGTCTTTGCTGCTCTCGCCGTAGTATCAAATCTGTCCATACATGACAGCACTTTGAACTTGACCACATTCCTTCTAATAAATAAATATTTTCAACGTTAAATTAAGCGAATAAGATCTTGAAATAAAATAATTCAAATATTTTCTGTTTTTTTGGTGATTTTTTAACGCTTCAAGCTACTTGAAGCTATAAGGTGCTACTTAAGCTATAAGTATACCTATAGCTACTTTGCCATTGAAGTGTTAAAAAATTAGCAAAAAAAACGAAAAATATTTGAATTATTTTATTTCTAGATCTTATTCGCTTAATTTAACATTGAAAATATTAAGTATTAGAGAGAATGTGTTCAAGTTCGAAGTGCTGTCATATATGGAGAGATTTGATACTACGGCGAGAGCAGCAAAGACTTTGAGGCGGCCGTACTCTCAAACTATCAATTTTACAAAAAAAACGGTTTTCTAAGGAATTGTAGGAAATTTTATCTAGTTTAATTCGTACATAGATACTTTTATCGCAGAATCAGCCAGAAAGGAGATATTTTAAAAAAGCTGTTGTTTGACGCCATTTTTCCAATATGGCGGCCACTTGCCGTTCAAATTTGAGGTGGCAAAGTTGATTTTCGTAAAGAGCACCTCGAAATCTATGAGATTGCCAATTTTCAGAATTCCCGGAGTACTGTACCGGCAACAGCCTTTTTTTGCACCAAATGACTGGACTATATCAAAAATAACAAATGCATACATAGATATCAACAAAAATCGATGTTTATTAGAAAATTAACACTTACTATTAGATTTCATTATACATATTCTATTAATCATGAGGTAAAATATTCAGGTGGTATGTAAAGTATCAATGAAGAAGAAAAGCTGCTTACAAATAATTTGTTGATCGTTTTTGTAAAGACCAACAATATAGAGCTTCTTCTAAGAGTTCATTTTTCGGTCTCTTGACCATTTTCCTATTTTCACTTCCCTCTTCACTATCTAACTTGCAAGTGTACGACAAAATTGAAGCGGCATTCTTTTAATAGTATCGCTTATAGTTGATGTACTTACTGTACCTACACCATACCTATCAGCTAACTTACAGCCGATTTCGCCTTTTTTAATGATTATATAATATTTATTTTATCTTTAAGGGATAACACCACCCTTTAAAAATGTATATATGCACGTCAAAACAGAGAATGTATTAATGTATATATGCACATCAGAATATGCAAGTTCCGACGCGATTATGTCCGGATAATTGCGAATCCGTATAACCGAGGTCCGGTTAATCGAGGTTCTACTGTACTAGAATATAGGTATATATATATATATATATATATATATATATATATACTAGCTGACCCGGCAAACGTTGTTTTGCTAAGTAAGGTATATTCTAAACAATCTCTACAGAATCAAAAATATTAATACTTTAAGTGTATAAGGATGTGTTGTGTGAATGCTATATACAATGAGGTATTATAAAAACAATAAATCCCATTAGTTTGTCTATATTCTGTCAATACAATCAAACTGGAAGTTGTATACACTTTCTATAGAAAACATGGTATAATTCATTCAATCCAAGTCTTTTTTGGTCTTTCGACTTATTGATTACGTTTCAAGCTTATCAGATTTTTTTTGGATTCTGCATTTTGAATATAAATGTAAATAATACTACTGAGCTTATACAAAATTTTCAAATTTCTGCAAGGAGAGATTGAAAGTGAATTAAGTATTTCTGTTTTGACATGCTTTTTGAAAAGTTTCAAGTAACATTCGATGAATTAAAGTATATTCCATAAAAAGTATATATGTAGAGCAGGGCGAGGCACAAAGGCTCAATTTGACTTTGAGCAAATATTAATTATATTATAAAAATTCAACCAATTATAACACAATAAATAGCACATTTCAAACGAACAATTATCTGACTACATTCAGTAAAACTGCCAGCTACTTCATCATTATAAAAATGTGCTTTTTTGCTGTCTTTCAAAAATTTGTTATCTATAGACCTTTTTACCCCATAGACAGAGTAACTTGGAATGGCCAGGTGGCAAACGGGTTTTATGTCTTATTTTAATTTTAAAGGTATTTTATAAAATAATTACATTTTTAACTAATGCTAAAAAACTACCAACGGAAGAAAATACTTTTATTATGGATTAATAATAACCAGCTATAATCAAGGTTATACCTGGTTATACATCTTTTTGCCTCTACTTTTAAATATCTTTGTTAAACAATGCTTAACTTTACTGGTTTTTGACACATCGGACCTTTTTAACCCCGGACCTTCATATATTACTATCTATTCTTCGATAAATTCTGGGAAATTTTAACTGGGAAAATGTTTTTCGATAAAATGTCCATTTGATCGATACCAAATTTAGGTTCTGAATTCAAATAACATAAATAAAAAATAATATAACCTAGAAAATGTTTTATAAATACCAATGAGTATATAATTATACAAATGAGATCTTTCAGAGCACCGTGTTTGAGAAAAATATGCCAAAAAGTGCATTTTCATATTAACATTTCAAAAAAGTTGATATTTTGAGTCTCTAGTAACACTTGCGGCCCGTTTACTAACGTTTTTGTATATAAATAAAACTACAAACAAAACTACTTACTACAATTTAATCATAATTAAATAATATTCACCTAAAACATCCTATTAAACGTAATTGAATATCATCTGTTAAAAACCTTGGACATTTGACGTATTAGCCACCGTCCATTGTTTTATTCATATTACTCTTCTACAAAAATGTTTAAATTAAAAACGTACAGTTCCTACGCGATTTTGAAATAATTTCTCACCTTTCCGACAACCTACTGATTGGAACGAATTTTTCACGACTAAGACCGGCCAAATCGGTTTAGCCGTTTTCAAATTTTACCGAATCATTTGATAGAGAGCTCCATTTTTATATAAAATATATATATATATATATATATATATATATATATATATATATATATATATATTTCTGATAACGGTACCTGCATGTACTAATGCACTATGAAGAAGTATTGTCTGAATCAACTTTTACCATCCATTCGCCCATTCGTTGACTTTTCTCATTATCACGTAGGTACGTTTATTATTTATTATCTTCCAATCATAAATGGACTGTTATTTTATATTCTTTCCAACACTGTTCCGGATTCTTGGACGATGACCATGAAAAGTGCAGGAATTATTCGAACACTGAAGACTTCTATTAATATTTAGAATGATTGGTCAAGCCAATTGAATCTAGAGATTGGAAGATAATGATTGTGTTTTCAAAAATGACTAGTTGGTATTAGTATTTTGGCTTGAGGCAAGTTACATGAACTTCCCGATATGTGTAAATATTCGACTTAATCAATAAAAAATGAATGAATTTATGAGCGATTAAAATTATTCCGAGTGAATTTATTACACACAATTGAAAGCGAACGAAGACGTTAACTCGGAGTATTTTCTGAAAGCAAATTTAAAAAAATCAATAATTTTTATAATTGAACCAGTTTCCGTAGGACTTTAATGGTTTAGTATGTTCATTAAGACCAAGTACTCTATCGTTATACCAAGTGAATCGTCTAATTTTAATTTTAACAAACGTCAAAAAAACGACTAATTTTCTCAAACTTTGATGAATTTTAAAAATTAAACTACTTGTCGCAAGGCCGTAATATTTCAGTATGTTCTATAAGACCATGATATACATCGCCTACAAAAATTCCATAAAAATTGGCTTACATTTTTTTCTCAACAGTTAATTACAAGAAAACGGCTCGGCAGATTTTCACCTAAAATTAATCATTTCCAACTAATATCTTTCGAACAGTTTTCGATTTTTTAAAATCGATTTGGTAGTATGAGCTTAAACGTGGACGAAAAGTTTAACACTTTATTCCAAATTACAAAGAAACGGCTCGACCGATCGTCGCACAAAACTGACAAACGATAGTCTTCATCGAGATACATTGAATGGATTTTAAATTTTTGAAATCGGTCCAGTCGGTTTCGAAAAAACGTGGATTTACGGCAAAAAATCTGTTTACATACACACACACACATACTTTTTCCAAATGTTGGTCTCATTCGATTCAGAATGGCTTGAAACGTCAAAAAAACATAAAATTAGTGTATCGGATTTTTTTATGAAAACATAAACTTCTTCTTCGGGAAAATAAAAATTAAATCATACAGAAAATGATATTGATCAAGGGATGAGAGACTATAATACACGAAAAACTTGGTACCTTACTTCTTCAGAATTTCAAATTTTAAAAAGTTTTCATTTTTTGCCTTCTCCTTTTTTATTATTATTTCAATTTCTAGTTCTTCAGGAATACAATTTCAATATTTTTCTGCTGCATTTCTATTGTTAATACAATTTTTTGCTTTAGGTCAAGATTTTAATTTATGCTGTTCATTGACGTATGTCTAATTATTTTTAATTCTAAATTCTTTAAGATTTTAAATGTAACTTCTCTTTCTGCTAATTTATATTTATCTTTGTGAATTTTTAAATATCAAGTTTAAATTTTATATCCTGCTGCATGCATCTAAAGAAGAGGTGTTAATTTTTTTGAACTTTTCC